TGGGGGGAGTTCTAGCACTAACGTTTGCAGGCTCCAGGGCAAACCAGGTCCCTTTGCTCTTCTCAGCTTTGGCCTGTACTCTCACTGTGAAGGTCCTCATATGAGTGCAAGGGGCACACTCCCTATAGACCCTTCCCCTGGCCACTCCACGTACCAGTAGGAAGGATAGACATGGAAAGCAGCTGGTGCAGGGACTCTGGGGTCTTCGGCACCCGGAACATGATCTCTAGGGGGCCATGGGCTTCAGCGGGCATATCCTTGGCCCTGTGAAATCCAGGCCTCTTGGTGGGGTGTGTGTGTGGGGGGGGCAGTCATGGCTTAGTGTGACCAACTCATCTGGTTGGCCTGGGTCTGTCCTGATTTTAGCACTAGAAATCTCACATTAGCAGCTGGGACAGTTGGTCACTCTATCATGGCCAAACAGGGACCAAAGCCTCTGTATCACCACCTTGGTTTGGCTGGCCAGAGGCAAGCAGCTTGGGCTCAGAGAACCAAACTGTCCCTTAATGTGGCAGTGACTTCCCTTAGCCTCTCCCAGGTGTCCCTCTCTCCAGCCCCAAGGCCCTGCGCCAGGCACTTGGCCCACAGATATGTTTGTGAGTAAAGAGACCCTTCCTCTTCTTCTCCATCCTCCAAACCACTTATTGCGTCTTGAATGTTCCCTCCAAGCTCATGCTGGAACTTAACCCCCAATATGGTGGTGGAAGGTGGGGCCTTTAAGAGATGATTAGATCGGGAGGACTGTGCCCTTGTGAATGGATTAATCCATTCGTGAATTAATGGACGTTCTGATGGCTTTATAAGGAGGCCAATTGAGAAAGTTAGCTCTCTTACTCAGCCCATTCTCACCATGTGACACCCGACGTGGCTGTAGAGAGTCACCACCAAGAAGGCCCTCACCAGATGTGTCCCTTTGCCCTTGGACTTCCCAGCCTCCAAACTGTAGGAAATAAATTTTGTTTCTTTATAAATTACCCAGTTTCAGGTATCCTGTGATAAGCAACAGAAACAGACTGATACACCATTCTCCAGGTGCTCTGAGGCCTAGGGCTTGTCTATGAGGGTGGGCTGAGGGAAGACAAGGGGTGGGGGGGACTTCTTCTGGAACAACCTCCTCATTGTACAAGGGAAACCAAAGCCTGGAGGAGAGGAACCTTGCCCATTCCATAAGAACCTTTAGCTCCTGGCTGTTTGTGGCAACCCATATCTACCCCCTATTCTTGTACAGCGTCCCCCATGTGACTGAGAGAAAGCTAGCCCCACCCCTGCTCTAAGGGTGGGGCATGTGGTCCAGGCATAATCCCACAGTGATTGGCTCAGCCTTGAGCATGTGACCTAAATTGGTCCAATCAAAATGAAGGCCAGGACTTTTATTTTGCAAGGGGGAGATCTAGAACAGGAAACAAACAAAATCCTCCCAGGGCCCATGCTTGACCAAGACTGGGAGACATCAAGTGCACAGAAGTTTATAGCTATTTATTGCACTGAAAACACCAAGGATAAAACAGACACCCCTTCTTCCCTCCCCACGCCCCCCAATAGCAGAAAGTTTGAGCAGTGGTCATTCAAGTTCACAGCCACATATTTTTTAAAAAGAAAAGAAAGAACTGAAACAACCCCCCAAACAAATAGTAACAAAGAAACCAGCATGGGGAGTCTGGCAAACACATCCCCACAAAGGGTCTCCCTTTGAAGGGAGACAGGAGGCCATGGGTCAAGATTCGTGCCATGGTGGGCACAAACCCGGGAAATGCTTTCCTGTAAACGTATTTGCATGCTGGAGCCTAGGCTTTGAGGTGGGTTTGGATTTTTTGCATCTAAAGGATGTTTTGAAGGAGCATGGGGGTTTGGCTGATGAGGGTGGGTTCTGGGCAGCTTTTTCTGCCAGTCTCCCCTGCCTGCCTCAGGGTCACCTCGGTGCCCTGTGGTCTACACCAGATGGCTGCCCAGCCACAGGAGTGGCCTTCGCAGTAGGGGCCATCTCAGGCTGGGGTAGGGACGTGCTTCCTCTTCTCCAGCACTTGGTGAGGGACACCGTGGGCAGGAGGTGTGTCAGCCAATGAAAGGCAAGACATGGGGGTCCTCCAGCTCAGTTTCCTCTGGTGGGGAAACCAAGGTCCAGAGAGGGAAGAGGACTTGCCCAAAGTCACACAGCAAGTCTGGTCAGAACTGGGAATTGACACCTACTAACACCCAAACCACCGCTCCTTTCCCTGCAGTCCACTGCTGACAAGCAGGTGACAGGCACCAAAGAGGGAAATGAGGGGCAGGTGGGGAGGGGATGAGGACTGGCCAGGCCAAGTAAACAGGAGTCCAGCCAGTGACTAACCTGTCAGTGTCACAGGAGTATCACCATCCGTTTGATCCTCCATCAGCCCTGCAATGTAGGCAGGGTAGGAATAACCCTTTTAACGGATGTGGAAACCAAGGCTGAAGAAGGAATCAGACCTTGCCTCCGTGATTGTAGCATCTCCTGATGAAGGTCACACCTTCACCTTTGGCTGGGGATGACCATGGGGAGCTGGCAGCTCACAAGGGGGACAGGTGGTTTTGCTGCTGGGATGATGGGATCACTGGAACTTACTGGAAACCCCATGGGCCCAGTGCAGGCCAAGAGCCCAACAAGGACAGAGGCCAGTCAGTGATGGGCCAACGTGAAAACTAGGAGGCCTGGGCAGCCTCCTTCCTGGCCTGCAGCCCCTGCCCAGCCCATCTCACCCGTCCCCGGGCAGCAGGAATTGAAGAAAGAGCCCAGAAGACAGCTTGTGATCAGGGAAAGCTCAGGAAGTCCTAGATCAAATATCCTCACCAGTTCTGTTCCAGCCAACATCCAGGAGGGTCGGGGGAACAGAGCCTCCTCCAAATCCCTGGGGATGTGGCTCTTCCTCCCCTAAAATCCTCCAGAGGGGACAATATCTCATGCTGGCAAAACACGGCCACACAGAGGCCAAAAGCACAGAGAGGCAGCAACATAATTCCGAGTCGGACACTGAGAATACAACCTCTATTATTAATTTTTTTGTCCGAAACATGTAGATTGGTTTTGTTGGTGTTTTTCTTTTTCTTTTTTTTTTTTTTTAACATACTTAATGCATATAAAGTCATGCAAAGGAAACAGTGCAGACAGTAGATCCTAGTGGATGTCCCAAGGCATTCCACATTAGAGTCAATCCCAGGGGAAGAGGGAAAGAGAAAGGAAAAGAGAGAGAGAGAATGCAAACCCGAGGCTACGGGATGAGGCGTGAGGAGTAGACATCCCCCGAGCTCTGCCTTGACCGGCAGACCGAGGGGCGGCGGG